GAAACTCAGACACACTATGTATACATAACCAAAACAATGCAATGATACTGTAAATTATACTGGCTGCTCTTAATTTTGCAAAAGCAACAGGTTTAAAAAATATAAAAATAAATGCAAAGCATTGTCAAATTTACACTCAACATAATTAAAATATAATACATTTAAAATTTTTCAAACAAAACAATAAATAAAACATCCACATATATCAATACAAAGAAACAGAGATATTTGCCTGTCATTGATATAGTTACATACCATAGGCCTAGATTCATGAAAGTATTGCCTTTCAATAAATATCTTCAGCTTCAAAATTTGATATTTTCTACATTCTTCAACTGGTTTTTGTTAAATATCACATTTCAATATAATGTGTAGGAACTGCATCATTTCAATATTTCTTGTAAATCAGCAGATTTCTAGGCTGACTTCTAATAAATTAGGCACCAACTGATAACGTAAAACTTATCAAACAGACATGCACAATTTGAGGGGCATTACATATTGTACTCCATTTGAAGAATGCCTCAGACAAAATCCCATGGCTCTTGTTGACCTTGCTAGGAAAAGGCCATATGGTGAAAACTAACTAGGATAACATTTGACCACTAGGATGTGTCCATATGACCTGGGTCACAGCTTTGAAAGGAGGAGTAATTCAGAAGGAGATACAATTTTATTGATGGGGTAAGTCACAAGAGAGAATGTTCTATTCTTCTCTTTGTACACTCATATAGCTCTCTTTAGCACTGACCAGCGGTACAAATGAGATGTATATATGGAATGAAGGTACAGGATTTCTTTTTATTCTTTCCAAAGAATATCAAGCCCTTTCTGATTCCACCAGATCCTACTGTAGCCACTACACACATTAAAGTTACCGAATCAGAAGCCAGACCAATTCACCACATTACCACTGTCATTGGGGATCTTGACTGTGCTGGAAGTCTGTGCACAATGTGGAAAAAATTCAATATCAACCACTTGCTAGGCAGCTTAAAGATATGGAAGGGGCACCTTCACAACCTGCTTTAACCATCATCAAGGCAAAGCTTTAGCCATTTTGGTGGTGTGCACTTTACAGGGTTGAATATCATTATCGATTACAAGATATCATTATAAAATAACTATGTTTATTAAGAAATGCAATTATCTTATTTTTTTCGGTTTTGTAAAATGCCCTTAGATTGAAGAGAGAAAAAATAAAGCTTGCCATCTCCATAGTAATATTGTCCGAATATGCTATAACTATGCTATTTCTTATATAGAAATAAAACAATTATTTTGCCTAGCTTAATTGAAAGGGTAAGGAGCGTTATATATATATTTACCAAAACACCCTGCGTACCCTAAATATTGTCTCTTTTGGCCTATGGACTTCCATAGGAATGTCTCTCTAACATTTGAATCAATGGCCCCAATGTGTCAACACCGTGTCAATTCAAAATCATGTTGCTAGAGCATTTTATTATTATTTCATAGGAAAAAATGTATGAATATAAGAGCAGGGCTAGCATGCAAAGGTATGGCATCAGTGTATTTAGTCTGTGAGAAAGTGATAGTAGTTGAGTGGTAGGAAATCAGGGTTTTTCTAGTGAACTGTGCATGGAGTTAGGTGCTAAAAATTCCTCACATCTCATCCTAGCAGTGACACAAGCTGGAGACTTGGACTGAAATCCTGGACTTCCTGAAGTCAATAACAAAACTCCTGTCTTAAAGGGATGGGCAGTAACTGTACAGTCTTAGGAAAATAACTTAGAGCTATGGCCTGCCACACCTGATCATGCTGATTCCCTCTGGGACTACTCATGAATTAAGATACTACACTTTTGGATCAGGGGCCTTTATTGTTGCATGTTTGTATAGTGCTTAGCACAATAAAATGCCACCCTAAGTTATGGCTTGTGGGCACTGCCACAATACAAACAACAACAAAAATGTTTTAGATGATTATAGGTGGTGGAATCTGGCCTTTCATTTCTATGCTTAAATTTATACAAAATGGGGGTAATTATTCATGCCTACTTTGTGAGGAGTAAATATTAATTAATGAAAGTTTATGCGGTGCTTTGCAAAAAGAACATAGGTGCTGATTATTATTATATTAAACCAATATATCACTACTTCTAAAACTCTACTAAGCAAAAAAGTTCCAATGCCATTGTTTTTTCCGACTTTCTCCCAAATCAATAAAAAATGGATTGTGGAATCAGATTGTTATTCTGTTATAAATCAATACAAGCACTTAAACATATTTTGACAGTTCCAAAAATCCATATCAGAAGTTCTTCTTTTGACCCTTTTTACAGCTGTAGATACTTGTTTCTACGGGGGGGAAAATATTCATTTTGCATTAGCTCAAGTTATTTCTCATAGTTTCAAAAAGCATGCGAACTTTTGAGGAAGACTCTTCAGGAAGCCAGTTCTCAATAAGAAAAGAATACTCTGAAAGAAGTCCACCCAGTGCATATTGTTCTAAGGGTCTCTGAAATTCTCTTCTCTCTCCAAATGGGAGACTATGCAAAGATTAATGTGGATGATGATACATAATAAATATCACACTGTCTGCTAAACTAATCCAATAAAGACAATCGTTTAAATATAGTAAATAGCTTTGATTCTTAACGGTCTTATTGTCAACCTCTTACCTGTTGAAGAAGATACTGAAAGGAATGGAAAAACAGGACCCAGCTTCTAAGACAGAAAAGGGACTAAGATCCAGCACCTCAGTTTGCGTAAATAAGTGCAGTTACACTGATTTACAACCAGTGAGGAAGCAGCCCTTGTCAATGACAATTAAAATCTCATTTGTTTCTCCCCAGCGAGGCCCAGAAGAAAAGGAGGGCCATTATGTATGTCCTATTCCAAACTGCACCCAGCAAGTCTTGTGGATAAGGGTGTCACTGCAACTGTTCTACTCTTGAATTAGAAAAAAAATCAGCACCAAGTTTGGCAGCCACCCCTGATGACCTCAGTTCTTCATTTCCTTGACAGGATTACATCTGGCATGAGTGCCAGGATGGATGTAATGCAGAAGCAGCCCCACAGTGTCTTTGTAGATGCACTGAGACACACTTCCTTTTCCCCAAATTGGTTTCTAGTTCCTATTTCAAGGCCAGCCAGACTAATAACTGATGCCACCCTTTTTCCTTTTCCAGTCTTAGTAGCTGAAACAAACTGATAGAAATTTTAATTTTAGAAAGCTGAGTACTTACAGACACTATTTCATGTTAGGGTGTCTGGAGTTTGCCTTCATATATTTTTTTATATAATAAATTAGCAAAATCACTTTTGCTGTAGTAAATTAGAAAAGGAGAAAGCTGATCAAGGATTCCTACACTATAACAGCTATGGTGGACTTCTTATTGGGCAACAGTTACCAAAATGTAAGAGAAATGTTTTATAAATTATGCTGCACTTGAAGAAGTGCAGTTATGCCAGATTTATGCCAGATTGCCTCACTCCTGGATTATTGGAAGATATTAAAGCTCAGTTCCGCAGCATCTACTGAACTTAGGTTTCATAAAAGTTTATGCAACTGAAAAGCAAAATTCACTTTTCTGTAGAAGTCCAGCAGAAGGCTTATAGATCACATACATCCCAGTTAAAACCTCATAATAGAGTTCATATGGGATGTAACTAATGCATAATTTTGCACTGGCTTTCTGCAGAGCAGTGATTTTTAACCTAAGTGAATAAAGGCTGCGCAACTGCGCCTTTTGCTTCCAATAGTATGCATCACATCACCCCAGAGGATTGTGGTACCTGGTATAACTCTTCACTTATTATAGACTGTTGCTTCCTTATAGTGAAATTAAAAGATTTAGTCCTACCTGTATATTAAAAGTGCTGGAGTTTTTTTAGGGAAAAATATTTCTTATTTTAGTTGTAAAATGTTATATAGATGCTATTATAAATAATGTTTATAAGCCTCAATTTTACTCTAGATAAAATTGTATGAGTCAAAACTGTTAATTGCCTGGGTTTTCCCCCTGCATAAAATGATTAATGTCATGTTATCCTTATAGCCATGGCTTAAAGAGGTACTGAACTTTCACAAGGAGGTAGGAAAGGCAGGTAAAATTTATCAATTCTAACATGCTCAAAATATAACCACTTTTCACATAATAAATAGGTGGGAAATGGCAGTACTTTGACATTTCAGAAATTTGTTTGTCAGAAAATATCAAAATTTGAAAATAAACCTGCAAGTGTTTAGAACGGAAAAGACAATGCAAAAAAATTGCCCAACGGTAATATTTTGATTTGATAAATACCAGCAAAAGCCAAAACTAGTAATGGATTGCAAGATGAGAAAGAAAAAAAAATAGGCTTAATGACAGTACTATTGAGAGGATACGCTTCCATCAATGCAGGCCTTGATAACAAAGGCAATCAAATAGCTATCTTGTTAGAAGTAGACAAGACCAGTATGTCATCCCATAGAAAACAAATCTACATCATAATAAACTGATTAGAAGAGAATTACATAAAACTTAGAGCTCTGGGTTGTTTTGGTTTGTTTTTTTTTAACAAACCCAGACACTTTGGTAATACAATTTAAAAGGACTTTCCCCCAGTTTATACTAGCTATGCTGCTTAGACAAGTTTATATTTGGTGTTTATATAACTGGCAAAACCAAAAAATGTCTAATACTGAACTTGTCCACCTCTACAAAACATTTACTTTGTTCTTGTGGGTTCAGTTATTTTGTTTTTCTTTTTCTTTTTTACTTAAAATGATTGCAAAAATGTCATACAGGCTTTTCAGCTTACTTCCCAGAAATATGGCACGTTAACTTGACTAGAAATCATGGCATCTATCTTTTTCCATATGTGATACATATTACTTTATCCATTCCTACAAGACTCGGACTGTCATTTTGGCAATAAACTGCAATGCACCAGTCTGAGCATAAAGGATTTAAGTTGTGGTTCTTGCAGAATTGGTTATTAACAGAATAAGTACGGCTATTTTTAATCTATAATATTTACAGTATTGCACTTTACTGCACTTAATTGCATTTCACTAAAATTAATGCTGCATCAGTATTATGCCTTAAAATCGTATGTCCATCTTTGTTGTGTAAGTTGTTCCTTCTACATCCTGTAAAACAGCAAGATTTCAATTCAAAGATCCCAGACATTTGGAAAAGAAAATTTAAAAGTCGACCTGTTCCTATGGCACAATACATCTCAGTTCAGGTGATTCTGGGTAAAACAGGTGCGTTCGTATTGTTCCCATCTTTCAAGTCACCATTAATGGTTGGTAAATTCTGGTCTCTCTCTGTCTCTCTCTCTCTCTCTCTCTCTTTCTCTCTTTTTTTTCTTTCAAAGGACATAGCCATTTGAGATGCACATTTTTTGTTATTGCTGCTTTTTTTTTTTTAGAAAAAAAAAAAACTGCCTTGCCTCAGATCTGAAATTCCACATTTAAATTCAAACCAGTTCTGCAGCAGCAGCTCCTCAGTGATGGAAGATATTCATGGCAGTGAAATAATACTGTTGGCAACAAAGAAATGTCATCTTTAATGGAGACCAGCCCCAAGGATTTTTTTTATTAGTATTATTTTTGTTGTTTTGTTTTGTTTTAATATATTTTATGATCTTCAAACAATGTGTTTAGATAGACGCATACACAAAGTAGCAAAGCTGACAGCAGCAGATGATGTTACACTGAAGGGATCACTTTTGCCAGGTTCAAAATCCAAATGTCCCAATGTTCACAGATTAGCATAATTTAGAGATATTTTTTTCCCCCCACTTACTTTATCCTGCATAGGGGGAAGTCTTTGATTTCCCTCTCTGTGTGTGTGCGCGTGCTTGTGTGTTTAATCTGATGACTTTTAACTAGGATTTCTGGATGATTTCACCCTAGCATTTCATCTGGTAGAACAGTTTTAGCTGTGTCAGAGCACTGCAAAATAAAATAGTAATTTAAAAAAAAAAAGATGGGCAGCCCAGTCTTCAGATCAATTGGATGTGAAGTCTTTGGGTGGGGAGGGAGAAAAAAAAGTAATCATCAAGAAGGGGTTGTAGAGATCGTCTCTCAAAGGACTTGCAGAGCGTTTTAAAGAAGAAAAAGAAGAAAAAAAAGTAGCGATCGTTGTTTGTCCCGGGGCCTGGAGAGTCAAGCTTAGGTGGTGCTGAGAGAAAGAGGAAACGGAGAGAGGAGAGAGAGTTATAAGTCCATCCTGGGTCTCACACACACAGAGCAAAAAAAAAAGAAGAAGAAGAAGGAAGGGTGTGGGGGGCGCTGAACGGTGTCAGAGCCCCAAAGCCTCGGCATGTTTCCTGGCCTTGAGTCGCAGGTCAGCGATGCTGGAGTTTTTGCTGTTGCTCTTGGCAGCAGCAGCCACCACAGCAGCCGCGGAGGCGGATTCCGCCAGGGAGGCGATGGGCAGTCCGAAGGGCGGCGGCGGGAACATCAGGTAGGGCGCGTGGGCCGCCAGGTGCGGGTGCAGGTGGGGGTGCGCGTGGGCCACGCCTTCCAGCTGCAGCTGAGCCTGCACCTGCCAAAGCACACAGACAGGGGCACGGGTGAGACGAGCTGGGCCAGGGCACGGGGGCACCCCGCCCCGTACCCACCCACACCCACACACCTCCCCAAGCAGCATGTGGCACCGTCTCGCTCTCTCTGGGAGGCTCCAGAAGAAGGGTCCCCTTCTCTTCTCGCATACCTGCGGCAGGGGATTGAGAACCTGGAGGGTCCTGTGGGGGGCCTTACTCCAGAAGAGGCACGCGGTCCAAGGGGGGGAAAGAAGGGATCTTGCTTTTGAGGTCCCTCCTGCCCCCCTCCAAGCCCCCCTCGCTAAGTCCTGCACCGCAGCCTGGCTTGTGGCTGCACCTAACTCCCCAGCTGTAGGGCACTGGGCTGCTCGCAGGCAGCTCCAGCCCGATGTCAGTGCAGTTGTCTACGCTACCTACAGCCAGATCCAGCCTGATTTCAATGTAGGTGACTTGGACACTTACAGAAAGATCCAGCCCGATGTCAGTGTCGTTGTCTCTGCTACCTACAGAGAGATCCAGCCTGGTTTCAATGTAGGTGTCTGCTAACATCGAGCCTGGTTTCTGGATGGAGTTGAGTCTGATGTCAGTGTAGGTAACTTGGCTACTTACAGACAGATCCAGCCCGACTTCAGAGTAGTTGTCTCAGCTACCTACAGCCAGATCCAGCCTGCTTTCAGTGTAGGTGACTGCTACCTACAGCCAGATCCAGCCTGATTTCACTGTAGGTGCATGCTACCTACAGCCAGATCCAGCCTGTTTTCAGCGTAGGCGACTTGCCTACCTACAGAAAGATCCAGCTTGCTTCCAGTGCAGGTGACTGCTGCCCAAAGAAAAATCGAGTCTGATGTCAATGTAGGTGACTCTGCTGACCACAGAAAGGTCTAGCCTGGTTTCACTGTCGTTGTCTCTGCTACCTACAGAGAGATCCAGCCTGATTTCAATGTAGTTGGCTACTTACAGACAGATCTAACCCGATTTCAGTGCAGTTGTCTCTCTGCAACCTACAGCCAGACCGAGCCTAATTTCAGGGGGTTTCCAGTTTGTATATACTCTGCACCGGTGGCCGGGCTGGAGACCGCTGACCCTGCCTTTCTCGTGGACATAGTGATCAAGTTAAGAAGATGAGGTTTGTTGATAAGAAAAGAAAGCTTTGCCTCTCCCCACCCCTTTTATTTGGAGGGGAGCCCTGGCTCGTTTTCATGTCCAAAAGGGAAGATCAAGCAACTGGTCGAGCAGAGTTTCTTTTCCCCATCTGAGGAGGCTATTGCGTTTTCCAGGTAGGGATCCGAGTTGTGAATCTGAAAGAGGAACTTTTTCCTGGAAGCGACAGTTTAACCCCTTGTACCCAGCAAAGGCAGGACAGGATGATCGGGGGGGGGGGGGGGGGGAGAGCAGG